CAGTCATGCTAAATGTGAGCTCATTCGTCATGCCGCTGGTCTTGAAATGTTATTTTGGGTTCGCGTCTTATTACAACATCCATGAAATGTGCGATTATACGTCCACCAGTCTTCCAGCACAACTGCTCATTAAAAGTGGAGCAGGAAAGCGACCTGGTATAATTCCTGTGAACTCAGACGGAGCTGACTGCGACCTTAATAACAGACGCTGATGTCCTGCTGCAGCTCAGCTCTGCCTTGCAAACACACAGCTGTGCAAATCCATTGTTGCTCCAGGTGCTGAATCTGTGTGCAAACACACACAAATACACAAACATCAACAAACATGCCTTTCTGTTTAAAGACGCAGTTTTGCAGTTTAAGATTTTGGTTTTATTTTCGCATCAGTTTTACACAAGTCTAATTAAATCGGAGATTTCTCTCTTAAAATAACAGGGTAATTATGTTACCATACTTACTGATATAAGGGGTCAGGCTGAACAAATTTACTACAGTACTGACTTTAATTTTGTACATGTTTAACTTACTTTTATGCCTAACTTATTTTTTGCTTCGCTGTACAGGCAGGATTTGAAATAACTTTAGTGTAGATATATATGTTACTGCTCTACCTGTATTTTTATTAAATAAAATGTTTCTGATAAACATAAATTAAACTTTGATTTATGAGTCCCCAGAATACCTGGGTGTACAGATCAACAGAATATTGACAAGTTTACTGGAACATGTTAGACATGAGCTGACAGCGATTTCCTTCTCCACCTGTCAGGCTTTTATTGCCATCTTTTTCCTTCACACCTGCAGTAGATGTTTATCACAGTCTGAGTCAGCCGCCCATATCGCTCGCTTCGCCTCCTCTTCTCTCTCCTTTTCTCTCTGATCTTTTTGTTAGCCGCTGCCAGCTCTTTGAAGATTCCCTGAAAGTTTTGTGTTATCACCTGCACGACACAAAGCAAGTGATAGGGGATGAAAAAAGATGAGTGACTAAATGAGGGACAGAGACAGAATAAAATACCACACACGTTTTTCTTTCTAGCTTTTTTTCCCTACAAGCTAAAAAGAAACTAGGGTAGAACAAACATTTTTAAAAGAGAGTAGTTAATTTCCACTTCACCAGATGGCCGCTGTGCTCCTTTGTCATGTAAATAACCAGTAGCTAGCGTCATAGCTTAAAATTCTAAGGATCAAAGACTGAGGAAAAACAAAAAAAAGCCTCTTCAAAGTGAAGCCCACAAAGGGAAAGTATGATAAACCATATGACAGTGAGTGTGGTTATAAAGCACGCTGGGCCCTGACTCATTTGCTGGACCTCTGTAAGTAAGAAATGTTTTCTAAAAAAGGAAAGGTACCAATTACATCTCTGGACTGGCTCCTTCTCGTGGCACCGCCCCTCCGTTTCCTTCCTTCCTCCTCTCTCTCTCTCTCCCTCTGTGTGTGTGTGTGTGTGTGTCCCTGGACACACAGGGACAGATATGCCGCTATAAACAGCTACCATGTCCCTGGGTAATAAACAGAGGAGAGGACCTGGCTCATGGCTCTGAAAAAACAACAATGTCCGAGCAGGATCTACACCCAGAGGAGAGGCAGTCTCTAAATAGCAGTTTAATCATACAATCCCAACTGAAGAACATACCCCAGTGGGTGATGGTGACGGCAATGGGGAAGACGAATTGGTGAGGGGTGGTGTTTAAGGGAACCTTAATTCCCCTGGTGAATCACTATCAAGCATTTATTGCAATAGCATCTGTTGCTCAATGACTTTATAATTGAAAAACTCCAAACATCATTCTGGGCTCTATAAAAACTAAATGCTTCTAATCTAGATCTAGATATCCTGCTGTATTGGGCTGGCTTGTAAAGTCCGAACACAGCAGTAATTTTAATTGTATATCAGTTGTTGTTGTTGTTGTTGTTTTGGTTGCTTGGGAAAAGAATAATTCTCAAACAAGCTGTTGACCAGATGGCCTTGATATAGTCTAAATGTTTATTTCTAACAATAATTTAGGTCTAACACTCAGTCTTCTGCTAGCTCTGTATTGTTCACCACCATCTGCTGTATAAAAATCTAGCTTTTGCAAGACGTTTGACTTACTAGTCTAGCTGCATAAATACTGCAGTCTTTTTATTTTGGTAAACAGCTGCCTGCTGTTGTTGGACATAAGGTTGATTGAAAGCAAAGCAATGTTTTGGCCACTATTTTCAGGGGATTTTCCACTCTGGATGACACTTTTCCCATGAACCACTAGTTTAGTTCATTCACTGAATAGCTCAACTGTCCTGATATAGTTTTTAAATAAAAACACTTGTCCCAGTTCCAGTACTTCTTTTGGAGTTTTTTTTTTTTTAACCATTTTGCCTTATGACCACCTTTTAATTGGAGAAAACAGTCACTATGAAAACACACCTGTGTAAAGTAAAAAGTTAATGATTTTAGGCAGATGCAGCCATGCGGCTTCAGAATCCAGTGGAATAGAGGCATGCTGGGAAAGTGTACAGACCCCATAGTAAGCTTGGCCGAACCAAGGCTGTGACCCATACCTTGGGCGTAAAAGTTCATTCACACACTATTACTCATCCTACTACTTCACCTCATCCACGCACCCTCACGTCCACATAGACACACACACACACACACACTAAAACACGGGCAAGGCTGCTGACTCCTATTAAGTGAGGTGTGACTGAACTCACAAATCACACATTGGTGTTAAACTGACATGGTGGACAGAAAGAAATATCATCCCGAGAACATGCACACACAAATTTGGGTTAAATCACACAGTAATATGACTCTTCTTATTGGATAAATGGGAGGTTAGGGAGGTGTGAGGTTTTCAAGGTTAGCTCTGCACAGGGTCTGTTTTAGATTAGTCTGCCATAGTCTGTGGCCTACTGTGTCAGTGGAGCTCTCAGCTGTATTGATGGGTGCAAGGGTTATGACAGCAGAGAGAAAAACTTGGCAGCCTGTTCCTCCATTGCCTTCCCTCAGAGGGATACTGGTCAGCACGCTCCCACCCCTCCTTTCTCTCCCCACTAGCTCTGAATTCCCCAATGAACAACACATTCCTCCTTCCCAGTACCACTGTTTATGACACGGTATCCTTTGAAGCAACATGTGAGTGTTTGTGTACGTGTAAGTAGATGGGTGTGCAAGTGTGTGTGTGTGTGTGTGTGTGTGTGTGTGTGTGTGTGTGTGTGTGTTGTTCCGTGTGTGTGAGTGTGTGTGTGTTTGTGTGTTGTGTGTGTGTGCACCCCGTCGCCAGGCCTGCAACCAGGCCTTGAGCAACTGAGTGCGTTTGTAAATTACATAAATGTTCAGGCATCTGACAATCGAACAACCAAGTGTGGATACTGTGAGTTTAATTAAAAGGTCAAGTGTTACTGATGGAAACCTGAGCAGGTATGATAAGGGCATGACTATCTGTGGTGATCAGTACTTGTTTCCCTTGCAATTCCGCTGCAAGTGAATAGGCAAACATCTAGAATCTATGGCCAATGTGAATTCTATAACATTGAGAGGAGGAAGTCAATCAATAGAGAAGAATGGGTGGAGGAAAAAGCCTTGTGAGTCATGGGACTGAAAAGCCGAAACTGTGTTGGATGACTCGTTCATACTTTTAACCAGGCAGAGAGAGTAGGGGTGGAAAACTCGGGCGTTGAAGACAGAAGAAAAACAAACGAAGTATGCCTTTTCTATTAAAGCGCTCCTAAAGGAGAGGGTGGGGGTGTTAAGCGGACGCTGGGGGGGGGGGGGGGGCAGAAGAGGTGTCAAAGGGAGCTAAAGCTGATGTCCATTTTCTAAAAACCCCATTTCTGCTGTGATTGGGATGCTTCAATGAGCGGGATTCTTTGGTATGAGACAAGCAGGGCATTTAATGCACCTCGGACGAGATTACTTGTGGTTTATGCAAACCCTCCTCACATTTCCTCCCAATCAATGCACTCTGACACGCAACGGTAATACGCATTTACCATGTTTTATTCAGGCACACATTGATGAGTAGACCTGGAAAATGTATAGAAGGTGCATCCGAAAATGCAAAAAAATGCCTTTTTTTCCTCTCTCTCTATTACATCTTTTACATCTACTATCTATCTATCAAGCAATCTACTCACATCACACACTTACAACACACGTACTCACATCACCTACAACACATATTACTATCACTATCTACACACACCTCAAAACTATCTACACACACATCACACGACACAGGACCTTTACGATAATATTGTAATAAATCAAGGTGCAAGTTAATTTCTAATGTATTTACGATGTTTTGCCGACGATCTAGTGGCTGCTACCCTGGTTATAACCAATGCATTAACCTCAGAGCTCATATCACATAAATACTGGGTCAATTGAGAAAGTTTTTTTGGTGTCAAAACTTTTCTTATATGGGGGACACTGTAAACAAACTACAGGGGTGGTTGTGGCACTACATGCTAGGTGAGTGAAATGCTTAAACTGAAAAGTAGCTTTTCTTTACATCTAATATCTGTTCATAGGCATGATCGGTTCGATAGATGAATGGTATCCAAGATACACGTTAATAATACAATTAACTTAAAAGAATATAAGGTGGATTCAGTGTTTCTACTTGATAAATTCTTCAATGCAATGCTGTACTGATAAGAGGGAATAGAAATAAGATATGCCATAACCCCTTGAGGTGAGATCTTGCTCATGCATATCTAAATACAAGTACTGTAGTGCTATTTATTTTAGGCTTGGCTCTTAAATCTTGTATCAGAGACCCACAGAATAAGCCTCGTTTTAGTAGGTAAATTGAGACAGCATGGGCAAGTTAAAAGTTTTCCGGGTTGTTTATTCAATGTCGGATGGTTCTGTTTATTATGCACTCATTGTTTGATTATTTTAATATTTTTACTTTATAGGGTTCGACCTTTAAGTAATACTGGTGGTAACAACAATCCTAAGATACTGGTGCAACCAATGTCCTTCTCATTTTGGCTGTATCTCTTGTTTGGGGTATTATTCTTTGGCGTCCTGTTAGTGGCAGCTTTGTTATACGCCTTCCTGGTCAAATCTGAGTCCTTCCAGGAATGCTTCGGTGAGTAATGGATAAATTTATTAGCACAAGAAATGACTGAGAAGAATAAATAGACTGACAATTAATATACAATGTGTCTGTGCTTTTAGGTGGGGAAGAAACCGAAGATGATATGATCACTATTGTATCAACGGAGCAAAAGAAGAAATCAAGTCAGGATGTGACAGACTGAAAATAGATACACAAACTGTTTCTATTTTGTTACCAGGCTAACTAAAGTGAGAGCTGGACTGAGCCATGGTCTGGAGATAATGCTGTTGCAAATGTTTAAAATCAATACTTTTACTGAAAGTGCTCATAGATATGACGAGACAATCTGTTCCTACACTTTGATCTGTTCAATTTAGATGCTTTGAATAATTTCTTCTCACGCTTTAAATTATTCGTGACCACAAGCCAAATAAATCTTGCTTACTTACTTAAAATTAGTGTATGTATGTGTGTAGAGAAAAGAAAAACCAGGCAGACAAAGAGCAATGAGCTCATTTACATCTAAATAAGTCGTTCTCTTAGCTTGAAAAACAACACTGGCATTTTATAGCTGTTTTATTTTGGAAATATTATAATTCCACATTTATGCAGTGCAACGACGCAAAAATCACCTGTACCAATTCTGATTCCTTATTGAAAGGACGATGTGATTTTTTTTTCATAAGTGACGCTAATTATCAAAGACTATGGGAAAAAAATCATTACAATCACATGATCATTAAAATCTAATTATAATAAACATACAGGCCACTTAAACTTGAAATTGTGATTACAAGTAATTTAGTATCACTTGCTGATTTTGAATCTGTAAACATGTTTTCATCTCAGCTGCAGGTGGAAGGAAAAGGAAAGAAATGACGGTGCATTGTAGCCAGTCGGTGCCATGTTTTACTACATGGCACTGACATTTTTCTCTCTCTACTCCATTTATGCCTGCTCACTAATGCAGGAACTACATGTGCTTTTAACAGTAGGTCAGTTTGTCCACTTGAGGGAAGCACTTACTCTGAGGAAAAGCTGATCATCAAAGAATGACTGTGAATAAAAACTCTTAGTCAACATAATTTGCATATGCTAATAAATTAAAAGTACACTGAAGATGTTGATGTACTGGAGTTTATTGAATGAAGTGAGCATCTATATTTATATGTTGCTTTTTCCATAAAGACAGCACAGAGCAGAGTTGCTTTAAGTTTTTACAGCTCAGGGTGTATCACTCTTTATGCTTTGTGTGTATGTGGTTATTTGCTGTCTATGCATTCTACTTTAATTTTTTCATATATTAAATATATTTGTATGTTTCTTTACATATATCTTGCTGCAGCTGCTCACACTTTTCATGAGACACACTGATGTTAAAAATAAAAGCTGAGTGCACTTTAATCCAGCCCTTACTGGTTTTTTTTCTCCATATTGAGCTGTTTGATTCGCTCTGTGGGTCACTATGTAATCTTGGGTCATTAGTTATTAGAGGAGCAGGTTAGGTGCTCTAACTCCTAATCAATATATCAAAAAATCATTCTATGACCATGTTTTTTGTAGAATCCAGGCCCAGAAAAGCCTAAGAAGATAAGTTAGATAAAAAACTACGTTTGATACGGCCTTTCGTTGTGTTTAATGAGATATCTGGATGTCTATGTCTATGACATTTGTTGTAGATGTAGGCTTGATTTTCTTCTGTAGTCTGTAGGAAGTTTACCATCAGATTTTTTTTTCCTTCTATAATGTTGTGCTGGTCAGACCTTCTTGTATTCACTTTAGAACAAGACACCCGGATGAATTGTCCCTGCAACCACGAGTCAGTAATGCGATTAGACATCAAAATATCCGGCGCAACATCTGCTCCCATTTCTTTAGTTGAATCTATGAAAAATTCCATATTTTTATACAACAAATAAAAATTGTTGTATAAAATCTGATTTTTCTACCTATAACTGCACATCACTTTCATTTGCAGTCTTGGTTCTAGTTAAAGTGAACTTTTATATCAATCCGGCTTCAACAATGCAGATGGTTTTAGAGTATTAGACTGTACTCTCTTCTCTGTTTATATTCAAAATTAAGAAAGGCAGTCCACAGCTGATCCACATTATGAATTATGAAGCTTTATGATGATAACTGATGGATTTTCCCTTCACATGTTTGGCTCATTATCCTGAGTCAGTT